GATAAATCAGAAAGCGAGCCGCAACGAAACGGTACCAGCTGCAACATACTTGTCCGAGTACCTTGCAGATAAAACGAAATTCCTGGTGCGCGCGTAAAAATTCTTGAAAATAAACCCACCGATATTATGCGACCGATAATTACGACACGCCTCGACTCGTTTCCAGTCGGACTCGACTCGGCTCGATCAACATCGGGCCGAAGGGAAATTACGAGCTCACCTGGACGGTAATTTCCATCCCTCCTCGAACGTTAACTGATTTTCCGCAATTCGCCGTAAATTCAGCTCGCGAAACGAATCGTGCTCCGATCACGCGCGATAAGCATCGAAGAACGAAGGTGGTCGAACGACTCGAGAATTTCCCCGCTTTCGCGGACCGACTGGAACGCGGAAGATGGCGCCGCGAGCGCGCGTTAACCGCTTCTAAACGTCTCTGAACGTCTCTAAACGAATCGGCGGGAATTAGCGGTTCACCGTGGCGAACAACAATGCTCTCGAAACGGAACGCTCGATTACCTGGAAGAAGAAGCAACGACGAACAACCGAGCTTATCCGGAGCGTGCATTCCGAGCGAAGATTACTCGCCCCTCGTGTCCCTCGCTTTTTCGACAGGGGAACGAACAGGAGGGAGAAAAAAAGACACGCGGCTAATTACGCAAGACCTGTACGCCAGGAAGGAAGGGTGAAGCGAGAGGAAAAAAAAGAGAGGAGAGGAGAGAGTAGAGTAGAGAAAAGAGGAGTTCGAAGAAATTCCAAGAAGCTGGAAGAACCGTAAAGATTTCAACGACCTCCTCCACCTACCTCGTGGCACGGTCCTTCGTCCTTCGAGTAGCTGGATCGGAGAAAAAGGGCGAGGAAGAGCGGTGAAAGGGAGAGGACACGGGAGGAATATATTCTTTTTCGAAGAATATCTGAACGAGACGCAAAGAGGAGAGAGAGCCGTTCGTGGCCGGTGGCCCGCGTCCGGTGGAAACGGTAAACGGTGCACCGGCTTAAGGCCCGTGGAATTATCCTCCTGTAAACACCTACCTAATTAAGATTGGAACATTTTAACGTCCTGCTCGGCGAGCCCAATAAACCGCCTAACGTACAGCCAGTTTGTTAGGCGCTTATGGGATCGTTTAATTAATATTGGCGTCGGTCGGCTCCAACGACCGACCACCTCCGGCGCCTCGATTTCTTGCTTGCCCCTGTACGTACACTTGCTGCTTGCGATCTTTCTTAACCCTTTTGCTCTGCTCTCTGTGTATACGAACTTCGGAATTAATAACGAAAGCGGCAAGTATGCGGATATCGACCGTGATATCGAATTAGCATCGAGCTAAGATACGATTAGGTATCGCGTTAATTCGACTATCGGAGAGAAATTCATTAAGGATGCTGCGAATGGGATACTCGGGTTCCTCGCCTATTCTCGTACACGTTTCTTCCATTCGGGTCGGAGTTGGCCAAGTCGTTGCGCCAGGACCTTTCTTTTCCCACCGTTTCAGGACGCAACTTTGTTTCGGCGATTCGTTCTACTTGTTCTTCCCTCGATAACGAGCGTTTCGACGATCCCGTTGAAAAAAGCTCGACGGTCGCGCGTCCAGTCACGGTACCTTATCGTTGTTTCCTCCAGCAGTTCGAGGGTAACGAGGCAACGAAGAAACTTTCAAAGAAGAAAGAACAGGAAGGTAAGAGGAGAGCTTGTTGCCTCTTTCTCTTTCGCGAGCAGCTACGATTAATCACGGTCGCGTTTTGCGGTTTTGTCGCGCGTCACGACTCACGTGCGTTCTGCGGGTCCCATTGTTCCGCGTCTAATCGTTCCAGGAACGGTGCCAAACGAACGGTCCTCCTCCGTGAGAGAGTTGCTCTCGCGAGTACGACCCCCCATCGTCTATTCTTTTTCTCCGTCTCGATTTCGATAGTCGCGGGAAAGTGGTCCGACGACGGGCTCTGTACAACTGTCTCGAATACGTCCGATTAGATGTTAAATCGGCGAGGAAGAAATATTCGTAACGAGTTAACGCGGCGATCGAGAAAAATCGATAAATAAATCTGACGTCGCTTCCCATGAGTCGAGGTATCCCCCGTGACGGCGATGTTTTCATTAGGCCGTAATAACCGGTACTGATCGCCTCTGTCGGGCGAAATTGAATTACCACCGGAAGATCTCTCGCCTTTCCTTCGCTCGTGGGAAGAAGCAGGAGAAGAAGGAGAAGAAAAGATGGCGACCGTCGAGTCCTGAGAGCGACGAGTTACGGGCCGGGTTTCTGGTACGCGCTCGGTAACTTCGGGTCCAATTTCGAGGGGCCATTTTTCCCTCAAAGGGGAACGTCGACGGCAGCCGAAAATTACCCTGGTTGGACCACCCAGTTAGCCCAAAGCAGACCAATCTCTTGGCCATGGGCTAATCGAGTCCGGACGGTCCGGTCCAGCGAAGCTGGTGGGGCTAATTGCAGCTCACCACCTTTCTACCCTATGGAGGTCGACCTCTCTATTAAGAGACCTTTACGCGAGCTCTTCTCGCGCGCACACCTCTCCTTTGCCGCGTCAACCTATTAAATCGGAGGGTGTAACAGCCGAAACTTTTTTACTCGACCCCTGCGAACGACTTTTGCCAGGACCATTCAGAGTTTAATGGTTATCAAAGGAACATATTCTTCGTGCTTTTTTTATCGTTCCTCACGAATTCCTTACGGCCGATGTTTCTTTATTAGCTCTCCAATTTTTAGCCGGCAATAAGGACACGATAAATATGTCATTTTTTTACAACATTTTCGTTACAATACATAAGTAGGTAAAAAGATATTGAACTTTAACGACTGATTTGCGACTTTCACGCAAGAAACGACGCACGGAGAGTTCGGAGCGACCCTTCGCACCGACGCGAGATCAAGACGACGAAAAATTTTGAAATCGATTATACCGTCCCAACCGACCGCGTTAATTTTCACGTCCGACAAACGAACGAAAGGAGAAGCAAAACGATCGAGGAAGCTCGTGTCGAAGAGGGTAAAAAAAGGATTTTTCTCAGCGAAGTTTATGGCTTCCGCTATCGCCGAAACGCGACGAGCGCGCCGCGCGATACGACGCGAACGTTCCTTCTCTTTTCTGGCTTTATGGTTATGCGAAATTCCTTTCTCTGGCCTCAGCCGTAAAACTATTTTATAGGAGATGTAGACACCGGTTGTTTATTGCTCGCACGACCGCTCTCGTGTACAAGGTCGAATTACAGCTAAAAGCTTGTGTTGTACAAGACGCGGTAAAATACGAGATCTCCTAACGTCGTTTCTCTTTCGATCATCAACGGATCCTCTTCGGATCCTAATAAACTCGAACATTTCTTTATTCTTCGGTCGTTTAACCCTTGGCTATCCGTTAATTTCAAATCGACAAGGATGTGCAGTCGATATGCTACCGAGTCCCGGAAGAAACAAAATACCTTTAAAAAATGTAAGAAGCGGTAAAGATCAACTTGATCGTCGCCTTTATTTTTAGCGTACACGATGTACGACTTTCGTTTGAAACGATCTTAACGAAGGGATTAATTACGAAACGTTTCACTTACCTGCAGTGGAACGGAAAGACGAGTATCGAGGTCAGAATGAAAGAAAGAAGCTTCGACCGACACAGACGTCACAGCTGGTGGCGGTGATTAATCGGCGATCTCGTTGCAAACGAGCTCAAAGGTCGATCAATGCGATCGCGAGGCGGTTTATAGAAAGTAACCAACGAGAATTTTGCCCGTGGGTACACGTCTTTTTATTCTGGCACAATATAAAATTTCGTCGATTCAGTCTTATTTACAAGAGCGAAAAAAAAAACAAACAAACAGATAAAAAATAATACTAATACAAGATAAAAAAAATCATGGAGACATGTTGCAAGCGTAAGGAAAAACACTCGTCGACGAGGTCGGCGAGAAGCGAGAAAAGCTACGAACGTTCCGTGCGCGACGAACGCGAGCGGAATCGCTCGAAACGAACAGCTGGAGATACCTGGAAAGCTTCGAACGACGACGAGTATCGCTTCTCGAGCGAAAAATTAGGCACAGCCTTTTTACGGCTCGATTCGCGATATCTATATTACAAACGCTTACTCTAACCGCGAGATCTACGGTACAGGTTAATTCGCGTCTTTTCTTTTCAGGCAGTTGTCGGTACTTCGATACGTTAACGCGTTGTCGAATATCGTACGGTGTACACGAATGATTAGCAATAAAAAAAGTACAAAGAACTAGCACTATTTTCTATTTAACTCGAATTTCTAAAGATCTAGGAGAATAAAAGAAACATGTATAATGAGGGTGTCGCGAGAAACGCGTTCAACGTGGACTGCTGAACCGTATTCTAATAAAAGGAAAGTGAAACGCGTCGACAAGGGGAAGTAGGAATTATCTAAAAAATCATTCGTTCGACGATCGCTAACGACACGTGTTGACGGTCTTCTTGACGAGACAAGTGTTGCAGGTGACCTCGCAACACCAACGGAATCTGCACTCGCAATTGATCTTCTCCTTGACGATCCTGGTGTCGTAGCCTCTGCCGCAGCACAGTAGCTCGCAGCCGTCTACTCCTTGACTGGTGGAGTTGCAACGACGTCCCTGCGTACCTAACGATCCCGTCTTTCGGTTCGGCTTGCAGAAGTCGGGCGAGTCCTCGCTGTAAATCAGATCGAATCTGTCGGGCGGCTTGATGGTCGGACCCTCTGTGATGAAGCTGTGCCCGTCGTTGCTCGGTATCACCTTTGCCGCCCCGTCGAACGACTCTTTCAGCCTGTTACCCACGTCTCGGAACGGCGGCATTTTCCGCCAACACGTGCGAACCGTGCACGACCCTGACAATCCGTGACACTTGCACTCCGTCCTCATAAAGTTCCTGATAGCCTGCGATACCAACCAAACAACGCGTTCGTTGAGAAATCCTTCGAAAAGGATCGATCGCTGACCGGTATAACCAACGAAACGAAAGGGAAGAGAGAGAGGGTGCGTTTACCAAACGGCCAGCGTTGTTGTTGTGAAGTTTCACCAGAGTCTTGATGTCGGTGCGTTTCCGATAAGGAGCGTCCATGAAATCCCGAGACTTCTTGAAACCAAATTTCACGTTGTCGCCGCATCCGCCCCATTCCCAGTCACCTTCCGTGGGCAGACTCTTTTCCGTGTCGATGGCGCGTGCGAGTTTACCGAGACGATTACCTAAATATTTCACGTGCAGTTCGCAACAGCGTTTCGCGAATAGGATGATAAAGAGGAATCGAATAATGTTTACCTTTTGGCGTCATCTTGTCGCAAGAGCATTCGACCAGGTGGCCCATGGTGCAGGCTCTGGTGACCGCGTAAGTGACTCCAGCCGCGGTTATGGCGTTCACGAAACCCGCCTCTCTGGTATCTGAAAGTATCGGCCGTTCGGCGATCAACGTACGAACGTTTCGATGTTCGAAGGCTACGGAACGAGTTTTCGACGAGAAACTGTTCGTGGCTCTAATTATATCGATGCTCGGCTTTGCACCCCTGGATTAAAGAGAACCGAAGGAAACAAACAGGATTACGCGTCGTTCCTCGAGCAAGACAATTACGAAAGGGGTAGTTTGGGTAAGTCGGTTAAATCGAGGGATCGCTGATTCAGCGCGAAAGACGACCCTCTTAGGAAAATGTCATAATCGTCGATGGACAGACGTCCCGAAAGCTTCGGTGCCGAGAGGCGGATTGGTCGGGTCGGCTAGCTGCTCGTCGTGGTTCTGGGAGCAGCGTAGCCAGAGAGAATTTCGGTGACGTGTGTATTCGGTTTCACCTGTCATGTCTCCACTCCATCATTAAGCGGACAATGCACGCCGGAGTTCCACCCCTTTTCAAAACGGCGGATTACCACCGCCATCGTCCTGGCTCTCCCTGTCACCCATTGTCTCTCACCTGCCCGGGCATCCGGGTTTTGCAAATCCTCTCGGATCCTTTCTCTCGCATATTTTTTTCTCTTTTCTTTTTTTATTTCCGCGTGTCCAAGTCCCGCCTCACCGTTACCTTGGCGCAATCCCGAGATAAGTTTTTGGTCCGTGTTTCATCGAGAAATCGCGACCCTGACAATCCGTGACACTTGCACTCCGTCCTCATAAAGTTCCTGATAGCCTGCGATACCAACCAAACAACGCGTTCGTTGAGAAATCCTTCGAAAAGGATCGATCGCTGACCGGTATAACCAACGAAACGAAAGGGAAGAGAGAGAGGGTGCGTTTACCAAACGGCCAGCGTTGTTGTTGTGAAGTTTCACCAGAGTCTTGATGTCGGTGCGTTTCCGATAAGGAGCGTCCATGAAATCCCGAGACTTCTTGAAACCAAATTTCACGTTGTCGCCGCATCCGCCCCATTCCCAGTCACCTTCCGTGGGCAGACTCTTTTCCGTGTCGATGGCGCGTGCGAGTTTACCGAGACGATTACCTAAATATTTCACGTGCAGTTCGCAACAGCGTTTCGCGAATAGGATGATAAAGAGGAATCGAATAATGTTTACCTTTTGGCGTCATCTTGTCGCAAGAGCATTCGACCAGGTGGCCCATGGTGCAGGCTCTGGTGACCGCGTAAGTGACTCCAGCCGCGGTTATGGCGTTCACGAAACCCGCCTCTCTGGTATCTGAAAGTATCGGCCGTTCGGCGATCAACGTACGAACGTTTCGATGTTCGAAGGCTACGGAACGAGTTTTCGACGAGAAACTGTTCGTGGCTCTAATTATATCGATGCTCGGCTTTGCACCCCTGGATTAAAGAGAACCGAAGGAAACAAACAGGATTACGCGTCGTTCCTCGAGCAAGACAATTACGAAAGGGGTAGTTTGGGTAAGTCGGTTAAATCGAGGGATCGCTGATTCAGCGCGAAAGACGACCCTCTTAGGAAAATGTCATAATCGTCGATGGACAGACGTCCCGAAAGCTTCGGTGCCGAGAGGCGGATTGGTCGGGTCGGCTAGCTGCTCGTCGTGGTTCTGGGAGCAGCGTAGCCAGAGAGAATTTCGGTGACGTGTGTATTCGGTTTCACCTGTCATGTCTCCACTCCATCATTAAGCGGACAATGCACGCCGGAGTTCCACCCCTTTTCAAAACGGCGGATTACCACCGCCATCGTCCTGGCTCTCCCTGTCACCCATTGTCTCTCACCTGCCCGGGCATCCGGGTTTTGCAAATCCTCTCGGATCCTTTCTCTCGCATATTTTTTTCTCTTTTCTTTTTTTATTTCCGCGTGTCCAAGTCCCGCCTCACCGTTACCTTGGCGCAATCCCGAGATAAGTTTTTGGTCCGTGTTTCATCGAGAAATCGCGTCTCTTCGAAAGTTCGCGTCGCTCGGTTCGCGACAAGATAGAATCTAGCGGTTACACCCTTCGATTAACTTATAATCGTAACGGGGAATGCGGCTCCAATTACCCGATTCCTTTGGGCGTGCGACGAGCCAAGGGAATCGGCGATCCTGGTCAAAGTATCGGGAGCGTATCTGTCGGCGATCGGTCGAGTCGAACAGAGTCGAGCCGGGCGGCGATCGAATCGAACAAACGCTCGAAGCGTTTCCGCGCCGCGAGGCAATTATCCTTTTCGAACGTTTAAGCGAAAACCAGTCGCGAATACTAATGCCGACCGTGGCGGATCGAGGATCGAAATCTCCAAGGACGTTGCGGAGGAAACGCGCGAGAAAATCAGCCGATGCGACGAAAAGAGGACGAGAAGTTTCCGCGTTGAAAACGTTGCGCGATCAGCGAAAGCGTGAAATTCGAAAGGAGCAACATCGTTTATGGAATGACCTAATATTCGATTCGGTTCGAGCGCGAGTCGTAAGAAGGAAGCGAAAAGGGTAGCGAAAGAGAACGAAGAAGCGGCGCGAGCCTGGGAAGGGGTTATACGCGTTAAGCTCGGTTCGCCGTGGTTCCCATGGATTCCAAGCGGGTATCTTCGCAACGGATCGACACGCGGACGAACGAACGGACGGACGGAACGAGAGGACGCAGCTCGAGAGAAGTAGCCTGCCACCGCCCGCGTATCTTCCGATGCATCGCCTCACCTTTCAGTGCGTATTTAAACGATACGATAGTTTTATACGGGCGATCTGATATCGGTGGTGGCTTCGAGAGCGAAAGGCCCTGGGCTGTTTGCTGTCTTCTCGAGCTCTCCTTTCTAACCATGCCCGCCGCGTGTTGCGTCCGCTGCCTTTTGCCCGGCTATCCGCCTCTTCCGCTGCACCGCGCCGTACCAGCCGCACCTCACAGCACCTCACCGCATCGCGATAGCTGCGCGATCTTTCAACGCGAACCGAATCTACCTCCGTGCTTCTTGTTTCGCGCTTCCGGATTACCTTTCTCTTCTTTCGAATCGCCGCAGCAACGCGCCGGACTAAAGCGTAGTCCTCTCTCGATTCGAATTTCACGAAAATGCATTAGTAGAAATTTCAAAATATGTAGGCATTTCGTATCGCGCGACCTAACGCGTCGTATAATATTTTTCTGTTGGCATGCACGCACGTCACGAATACGGCGCGATCGCGTCCGAATCGGGCTTAAAAGCGTATTCGTCTCGCGTACGAAGCAATGAAATCGATTGGAGCGTGTGACGCGGAGAGGGGAGAATGTTCGTGGCAGCAGGTAATATAAATCACTTGGAATCAATTAGACACGAGGGATCGCGAGCCGATGATCTTGCAGTGCCGTGCGATGCCAGAGCCAGGTGCACGGAGTACCCATCGTCTCTCGGGTCGTCCCGACGGCTCAGCCAATTATCAGCATTCCGGGGCATTATCCTCGCAGCGAGACTTACGCCGTGTTTAATTGCGAGTGGTCTTCTTCTTCTTCTTCTGCTTCTTCGTCCTCTTCTTCTTCTTCTCCTCCTCCTCCTCGCTTCTTCCGCTTCTTCTTTAACGCGTCTGTTCCCCCTCGCTGTTAAATCGCTTCTGATTTTCGCGTTTACTCGCGAAGCAACGCGAAAATAGTGTTGTTGCGTTGTTAAAAAACGAAGGATAAACGCGGTTCGTTCACCCAATGATTCGCCAAAAGAAAAGAAAAATCGTGAAAGCTCGTTGGAGATGCACGTTGTTCGTATTCGGTCGATCTGTTTGCTCGACGATTATGCAAGCTGACGAGAACTCGTCGAGAGGTATTTATTCGCGAAAGTATGGCTACCGTTTTGCGACGCGAATCTTTCGCTTAACGGGACGAGTATGCGCGTCTTCTATTGACCGCGGTAAAATACAACGTGGAGAGATCATCGGAATAAATAGACGCGATCGAAGTATTCTTAATCCTTTTGCTACCGACGCCGACTACACCACCAAGCAAAGATCGCGAACGTGCAATCGCGTTTTCCTTATATAAGAGTACCGCGATAAGAAATTATAGTAATTTATTATCGTTGAAAAATGGCGTTTCAAGGTACATTTTAAGTTGAACGACGACACGGGTAGACGGATGGCTCGACCATCGTAGTAGTTTCCGAAGGCTGTAGAAGACAAGAAGGCAATTTTGCTGGCACGTTTAGGGCCGATCACCCTCCGCGAAAGAGTGAAAAGAAAATTGAAGAGAACCGTTGCCGAAAGAATCGCGGATCCCGGCGATCGATTTATTGGCGCCTGCGCGAATTATACATCCGAACGGAAGCTACGCCCGCTAGTTTACTCCGCTGGCGCGCTCTCGCGGCCTCGACAAATCCCTCGTAAATCGCGGCGTGATTAATCGGTCCATCGGATTATGTAAGCGTGTAATTTGCGACGGTGCATCGGTGCCGCCATTGCAGGAATTATGTCGCCGGCAGAGTCGATCGACGCGACGCGGCCAGATGCTATCGATCGGTCCCCGTCCAGTGATTTGTTTTACCGTCTCGCGATTTATCGACGCTGGATGCGCCGATTCGTGCGCAATAGATCGCCTCGACTCGCGTCCGTAAATCCAACTAGTTCGAATCGATCGTAACCAATCGGAACGTTACGCCAGTCGTTTCGTCGAGTTCGCTCTAATTGCGGATAAGATTCGTGGAAAAGAGAGAGAGAGGAAGGAGAGGAGGAGCGTGACAAAGTCAAGGGGAAAAGATAAATCGCGATCACCGTCCGTAAATAAAGAGAAGAATATCGAAGAAGAGAGAAAAAGATAGCGAGGAATACGGCGTTTAGTTAACCCCGTGTATAGCAGATCCTACCAGAGAAACCTTTCCAATAAATACAGCGAGAACGGACGCATGAATGCCGACAAAAATCGCCCAATGACCAATTGCGGCAACGGCCACTCGCCTTTTCCCGAGATTCCGCAGGATTTTTGAGCGGCTCGGTATCACTGCTGGATTCTCTTCTCTCGCTGGAATTTCTACTTCGCGTCCTCTCTCCCCACATATACGTATCTCCTTCTCGTACCTATACCGCTATCTCCTTCTTTCCAACCGAACGAACCTGTATAACTCGAAGATACCGCGGCAATTACGCCTATACGCTTCTTCCGTTTCTCTTTCGCTCCGCTTCTCTCGCTTCTTTCGAGAACATCTCGGAGGAACGGTTTCGATTCGAGGGTTGCGAGGGAAAGTGCTCGGCGTTTCGAAGACACGGTATCGGCCGGAGGGAATTTTCCACGATCCATTACCGCGCGCGATTCGCGAGTATCGAAACGTCGAGAAGCAAAAGTCCGAAAACGACGGAGAGAAGGAGGGTAGTGCGTTTCGCGATAGAGAACGGTGAACGGGCAAAGGATATCGGAAAGAAGTTCTCCTCGTTTTCTCTGGCGAGTCTTCTTCCTTCGGGCTTCCCCTTCGCCGATGTAAAATCGAGCGAGCATTCAAATGTCACCGGCGAACGGGCAGAGTCTAACAGAATAACAGATCTGTCCCGGTGTTCCGATTCTCCTCTTCTCTTACCTCTCGGTCTTCTCCTTCTTGCCTCCTTTCGTCGCTCCTTCTACTTTAGCTGCCGATGCGAGCTAAAGCCACGGTAGCCGAGATACAATAAACGTACGGGACATTAAACTGTTTGCTATTGTCAATCCTTTGTGGGGAATACCGGCCATACCGTATCGATGCTCCTCTTCTCTTCTCTGCTATG